AGTGACAGCAACAGGAACAGGAACAGGAGCAGGAACAGGTACAAGTTCAAATGCAGATGGTACTAAAAGAAAGAAGGTGATGATGGGAAGAAGATCATCTACTGCTGTTATGCAGATGAAGAACATGAACAGCAACAGGAACCCATCTTCTATTGGAAAAATGATGAAGTTCTTCAACTTCAATGATGAAGAAAGAGTTGTACCCACTGGCCCTAATCCATTGCATAATAGGTAGCCCTTCTTCCATCTTCCATCTTCCATTATATATATATATATATATATATATATATATATATATATATATATATATCCAATGCAACTAATTACTAAATACATTGTTTATATATGGTTAGTTTCTTTACATATATCTTCCTCTTTATTTTCTCTTCTATCCATTATTAAATTGAATAAAAACTCATAGTTTTACAATATCACTTCATTTAAATAAAATACATAATAATAAAATTATTAAACCATTAAATGAAATATTATTTTCAAAATTTTAAAAATATTCCCTCGTGGCCAAGGAGATTGAAATGCGGTAACTTCAGACTATCCGCAAAGCAGGTGGTAGTCTTGAAATTAATCAACTCGAATAGTGGGTTGGATATCCAAGTTAATCTCTGTGTCAAAATACAATTATGATCGTATATGTTAATATATATTATACATTTGCTTTTCATGGTTTAACCTGCAAATAAATGATTTAACATGAATTTTTAAAAAAAATGGGAAATTGACCAAAATAGTCAATTTGACTGCTCTTACTCTGTAGATATATTTTCAACAAATTGATCGAAATAACCGAAGATTACACAAAGTAACAGTTACTCAACTTGGGTATTCCTTTTTGTAATATAGTGTTTAGTGAAATTAGACATTAGGTAAGTTGTGTAATTGCTACTTGTGTAATTCCCGACTATTTCGATCAAACTGTTGAAAATGTGTTATATGACGATGAATTTAAGACATTATGACGATTTACAAGACTTCAATTTTAAAATAACCATTCTACTAGTTTCCTTAAAAAGAAACGACTTACGAGGTATGAATTTGAATGGACAGTGTGGGACTAACACATATGAGAAATCTAAGAAGGGATCTTTATCCTTGAATGCACATTAGGATGAGATGTACATGATCAATCTTTGTATCAAACACGATTCATGGATTAGTTTGAGATTAAAGATGATCAAGGGTTCAGATCTTTTCTCACACTTCTCACCTTAACTCTATTTCTCATACGATCCTAATAAGTGGTTCAAATATGGTATTGTGTTTATACATCTCAAAGGGGAACGACGTTTATAAACGTTCAAGTTTCTACGATTACTGTATTTATTTTTTAATCTAGAATCAAATACGCGTGTTAGGAATGTTCTTTAACACGATTCATGCTCACACAAAGCAAATACGATAATCATCATATGTACGCAATTTTTATCGACTCTACAATAGAACACAGAAAAATACAATATCAAAATCTACAAACCTATTTTCCATACAATTGACTTGAATGTTGGTTTTGTTTTCTTTAATAATTGGTGTAATGTAGATGAAATTGATAAACGGAACATGATCCAGCAGATGTTGTAATCCGTCAAAATTGAAAAACTGCTCAAGAATAAGAAGGTGTTTGGGATTGCTTATTTAAAACAATTTATGTTTTTTTTTTTTTTATAAAAATCTTATCAATTTATATGGTGGTAAAATGGAGTTTTATAAAAAGTGTTTGGATTAACTTATGGCGGTACCACAATAGATAAGCAGATAAAATAGATGAGATACCCTTTTCTTTTTCTCATCAAAATACTAAAAACTTCTTATTACCGATACCACATCGGAATAAGTTAATAAGTTAGAAGGAAATAACTTATTAAAAACTCTTTATTTTCTTTTTTTCTCCATCCAAACATTAATAACTCTTTATTACCGGTACCACATCGAAATAAGTTTATAAACACTTTAAATAAGCAATCTCATACACCCCCTAAAAACAATCAGTAAATCAAAACTGAACAAAAAAAGTACAAATTTATAACGTCTATCCCAACAATATCATTAATGAATCAAGATCTCTTGCATTTGTTTGAAAAAAAATTAAAAAAATATTTGAGTTAAATAATCATTTCCTAACCATTTCTCTTATGGATTGATCTAAATGTCATTATTTTCGCAATATTCAGGTCCGCAATATTGCAAACCTAGCTAAAGACCAAAAAATCAACATAAATAGGCAATCGTGACGGTCAGGTCCGCAATTACGACAGTAAACTGATTCAATTTGACAATTTTTTTGTCTTTTAGCTAGGTCCGCAATATGCGGAAATAGTGACATTCGGGTCAACTCGGGAGAGAAATAGTTAGGAGGCCAATTTAAATGAAGGAAATGGTCATTTAAGCTAATTTCTCTATTGGAAATCGAGTTATCCCTATTTAGAATCTCTTTGGAGACCATCATCGGCGAGTCTCGATCCACCCTGACTCCCCAAAATTCATTGCAAATAAGGGAACTATATTAGAGAGAGATATTTTGGTTAAGCTCTCGTATTTCTTTTCTTATTGAGAAGAAGATTATCATTCAGATCGGAGCTTCCTCAATCTGTTTGAATGAGAGAGAGAGAGAGAAGAGGGGTATGCATGTGGATAGGGGTATATATAAGCTGCTCGAATACAAGTTATTCGAGTTCAGTTCAAAAAATTAATATCAGACTCGAGTTATAACGAAACATAATGGTGATATGGACACAGAAGAAGGAATGAAAAGGTGGTTGGACGTAAAGTGAAATTATGCTTTAAATTGTTGTGTATTATGTATCTCATCAAAATTCAAGATAATTGAATCTTGAAAATACTGAATTATATTATATTAAGACAGAATTGATCATATATAAACGACTAACAAAATATGAAAAACAAAAAAACAGAAAATCGTCAAATGAATGTTTAATCATCAAGGTTCCTTAAAATTAGTCGAGGTAGACCGGACACCAACATAATTACATAATGACAAAATAGAAGTTGCATTCCATTTTTCTCTTATGGTTAACGAGAGAATCAGGTGGCATTTGTGTTTTAACAGGTGTTGAAATCTGAAGTCTTATTTTACTTATAATTAATAAGAGGTGGTGCTGAAGTCTGAAATTTGAATCAATAAGATTTTTTGTTTTTGTAAACTGTTTAGATTGTCTATTTTATAGATTAGAAAATTATAATGTTGAATTTATAGATGAATTTATACAATTTCACATATTGATTCTATCATCATTACGAAAGTTATATTTAAATTATATAATTAGTATTCATCTAAATTAAAATATGTCATGAACGGTATTTAACACATTTAAATTTTATTAAAATACGCCAAGTGAGAGATGTGAGGATCGATTTGATAATGATCAATTGAGAGATCTGACCAATTATGATTAATCGATTGAAAAACGTCGTTGCTAAAATTTCGAGAACAATGATAAGCAAATAAGAGGTTGGTTTACCTCTTACCAGATAAGAGTACAATAAGATATAAGTGCCTCCTGAAAATTAAAAAAACAAACAGTCTAAATGACTCTAATTCTTAATAAATCAGACATAAAATGCTAATAACTAGGATTTTTTAAAATAAACAATTCCTTAGTATTTAACTACATCGTGAAAGTTGTCTCAAAGAGTTAATGGACATATTTAAAAAGCTCGATAATAATTATATGATTATTTATCATTTTATAAAATAAGATATTTTTAGTTTAATATCGCAAAATATTATTAATGCGTGCTTTTAATTTAACCATGTAATTTTTTTTATTTGTTTGGTTTAAGATGTCGTTTGTTTACTTCATAATAGTTTCATTAAGAGGTAACATATGAATGGTTAAGAAGTGAATCTTGTTTGGCAAAAAAAAATATGTGTCTTATCTTAATGGTTCTAAAACTCTCTGAATGATTTTGTATCATGGGTCTCCCTTAACCATTAAGCGTCATAATTTCATTGTAAACGAACCAAACAATTACATTTCATTTTGCATTATATCATAAGAGTCTCTTAATCATTCTGCACTTAACCATTAAGCAACTACCAAACAGCTCTTAAGTATTATTGTTAATCAGTCAACGGATATATTAACTTATAAATTTAAATAGGTCAACTAACAACAAGCCCGTCTAGCTCAGTTGGTAGAGCGCAAGGCTCTTAACCTTGTGGTCGTGGGTTCGAGCCCCACGGTGGGCGATATAAGCTTTTTACATTTTGCCCTGTCTTCTCCCTCATTTTGCCGACAATTACAGTTTTCTCCCTCATTTTGCAGACAATTACTGTTTTCTCCCTCAGCAATACCAAAAGTAACAAATTTAGTCCATGAATAAAAATTGTGGCAGTCTAATATTTTTTTTCATTTGTTAACTGTGTGGATGTTTGGGCAGTTTGTGTGCATCTCGATTAATCCTAGAAGTTCTGGAGAACAACCTGGAAAATTTTTGATAGTTTTGCAAAACTTGAACCAGTTATCTCTGAAGAGAATCTCGAAATATCTGAACCTTATTGTCAGTTGAACTAACCCCACAAGAAGTTATGGACTTATATTGAGAGGGGGAGGGGGGCGATTGAAATGTCAATTTTTTATAATAATCTAGGTTAAAAAATCTACTTTTATGTCCTTAGTTCTCCTAGTCATTTTCAACGGTTCCCCATGTGATCTAGTCCATTTTGACAAACCCCCCCCCCCCCCCCCCNCCACTTCGTGACCTAGTCATTTTCAATGCTTCAACCGGTTACCCGGGTATTTAAATATATAAACCTTTACATCTTACGTACCAAAATGAAAGTTTTAAGAGTACGTTACCCAAAATATGAATCAAGTTAAAGTACGTTACTTTTTCATGTAATTTGCCCATTTAAAAAACCTAAAAACTTTCCCCATTCATTTCATCAGTCCGGTTAGCTACTAAACACACCCTATCAAGAGAACAATTTCTATTGGTAATAAAGATTTTATTTCATAGGAAATGTAAGAAAACTGATTCTCATACAGATATCTCCCGTTGCTGTAGAACCAAAATAAGATCAAAACAGTATCTGTAACTACACTAAAAGAACACCGAAAAATGGCCTCGGGGCCTATTCGCCGTCTTTCCACACTTCTCGAAGGAGTTGATACCTCATAATACTCCTTCCACCCTTGGGGAACCATTGTTCTCCTTTCGAAGTGTCTCTGATGATTGAGGTTAAGGGTGAGTCGAGCTCATCAAGTTCATCATCACTAGTGTACGATTTCTTGAGCACCGATGACGAGCTTCTCCTTAACGACTGGGTTCCAACGATGCCGATTACGGTTGAAAGTGAATGTGATGGAGGTGGTTTATAAGCTGATGGAGGTGCAATGCATGGGAAGTTTATAAGAGACCCTTCAGAAGCCTCTATTTCATTATCCTGCATCTAAAATGCATAAAAATTAGGAGAAAATGGTGTTTAAGACAATCCACAAAAAACTATCCCCACCCATCTCAGACCGTCTCAGATGGTTGAACCTCCACTCGATAAACCAAATGAACTCAATATATTCCACCTGAGGTGGGGTCTGGACGGGGATGATGTATGTAGACCTGAACTGTACCTCAAAGAGTAGAGTGACTCCTAAGAAAAGCAAACCAAGTCAATTCTAAAAACAAAGATTAAAAGACCTGCTCTAATATCATGTGGGATATGTGGAATCCCGTTGTATTACTCTCCAAAAGAGCTATTGGGGAAAGAAGGGAATTCCAACATATATTAAGGAGAAATGTCCACGTCTATCCCATGTAGGACTCTAGCGCCCCCTCCAACAAGTCTAGACGGACACAAAGTCCAAGAGCATCGAGTCCTGGGCACATATGTCTGAGATGGTAAACTTTGGCTCGGATACCATGTTGAAAAATGTAATTTTCATTGATTTGTCTGTGTACAACGTTCACAATATATGGCACAGCTGTTCACAGCTTGCTGTATAAAGGGAGAATCAAAATTGATCCCAGATATAAGCTATACTTTAGTACTAAACTGTTAAAATGATGAAACGGCGCAACCAACCTCTGTGTCGAGGGCCTCAATAAGCTCATTGGGAATTGGGTTTGGAGAAAACTCATCTGGCACGAAACTGCAAACAACCCTTCTGATCAATGGAGTTGAAAATGTTGGGCAAACCTAAAAATGAAATAAAACCCCGAAGAAATTGGATCAAATAAAGAGTATGAATAGTTTGAATAAATATAAGATGAACAAAAGAGCTGAAAAGAAATGGGGCTTAGTTACCTCCTTCCTTGTGGACTTATCTGCAAGCATTTCAAAAGGAAGCATCATGAGATCACTTAATGCATGGAGTAATCGAAAAGCCTTAAAAGATGTATCAAATTCTGCTTTTTCTGCTTTCTTGTCATCAACAAGATCATCAGTATCTTCATGAGAGTCGTTATCCTCAATGCCAAATAGATCCGTAAGCCATCTAGACCATGTTCCAATCTAGTAAGATAGATGCAGCAGTTATAAAGTAGTCAGTTGACTTCAAAAGTCAATGTGTACCACTTTTTCTGAAATTAAGGAGGTGTTGACAGTTATGGGTAAAAAAGGCAGCGCTATACGGTACAACAATTTCTGAACGGTTTGTTTTAGTACTCACAGTGTTCTTCAGTTGAGCACCGGCTCCAAAGCTTGATCTTCCAGCAGGAATAGGAAGTACCCTCAGGTCAGCAATAGGATCAGATAATGGATCTGTTGGCATTTCTTCAGCTGATTCCCGAAGAATGGCGTTAAACATCGCAACATCTAGTCTACCCACCAACTGCTCCATCACCTACAACCGAAAGAGAAAGTTCGAAAATTTATGTTTTTACAGACTGTTTTGTTAATATTATTAGTTTATTACCATCCAAACATCATCATACCAATCTTGGCAACACAGGTAAGCAACCACATTCGTGGCCTTCGGCCCGGGTAGGACATAATCTTTCAGAAGCATCTTTGAAAGCTTTCTTCCAAAGTTCAATAGAAAAGTTCCCTTGGTGATTACCCAAACCGTTTTTACTTCCAGATGTTTTCTTTGAAGTTAGACCCATCATCTTGCCGCTAGCATTTGTGGCTGTTGATTGCATATGTGGAGTGAGAGTCTGCAGAGCGTGAAACCAGAGTCAATCACAAAGAGCTAGATAAGACATGAAAATATCGAAGAAATTACTTTTAGGGTTCAACTCAACCTGCCACCACACAGACTCAATGATTCGTGAGAATATCCAACCTTCAACCTTTTCTAATGCAATTATGAATGTTTGTGGGTCCTGCCAGTCATCGGATACTTTCTTTGAACCATTCTTGTGTTTCTTGGTGGAGTTAGCATCAAGAATCGGCGGTTCTCCAACTGTCTGGAAGACAATTGCCCTCAACATAACTGAATTCGACAACCAGAAAGTTAACCTGCATAATAGATACACCAGATCTTGTAAATTTTACAACACACATCTAAATATATCTTTTGGGTAATTGATCAAAAGTTTGTAGCCTATGGAATTATTACTCCCACCATCCCATGAGTCCTGCAACATTGGATTAAACACATGGTTTAAGAGAAATGTTTGCCTATTAACCAAATGTCTTCAAACCCCATAAATAATGACAAAAAGGATAATCTCGTATGCCCAAGTAACTACCATTCATCATTCTAATGACGACAATGGGCTATCAAGTAATTTTATAGTACTTCCGCCGTCCCAAAATATATGTCCAGAATGTAAAAAGGTACACAGTTTTAGAAATGTGTAGTTATAGAGGTAGTATGAATTGCTCCATCTCATAAGGGTAGAATTGGAAAGTATAAACTTTTTTGAAAATGAACACTAATTTTCGGACAACCAAAATAAAAATGTGGACATTTATTTTGGGATGGAGGAAATAAATTTTTACCAAAAAAGGAAATGTTACCATTTTAAGTGGAGATCTCAAAAGAGCGGAGTCTTGCAACGTTATGAGATGGAGGGAGTAGAAACAATTGCATAATTTCCAAACAATAATATATTAGAGCTAGATATATGATATTCACAGGAAGATCAACTAATATATTAAAGCTAGCATTCGAACCTTGGAACATCATTTCCACACGATTTCGAAACCAAAACCAGTCCAGAGATAATAGCTCTAGCTGCATTTACCCTTCTTTCTTGGTAGTTCTCTTTGCAAGCATGCAAATAGAATCTAGAGAGACGTCGAGCAGGGGCATGGACCTTGTTTGTGGAACTCCCATGCTCAGCTACAATGGAATAAAGTCCAGCCTCAATAGCTGCAGTTTCCCTAAGCTCTTCTTCAAGCATCTCTATTCTAGACATGTCTTCGGTTTTACGATTAGAAGATTCACTTTTTGGAACTCCTGTTTCAACTGAGTCATTAGTCCGAATGGCTTTATCTTTATCTGCTCTATTTGGGCTAGGAGTAGGAAGACCGCTTCCAGAAAACCCACCAGCCTTTGGTAACTGGACAGACTTCAGATGTTTAAGTTTGTTAGTGGACACAATATTTCCCTGTCCTCCAGCCGGTTTTCTACTAGACACAAGAGTGTTGCTCCTTAACTTGTCTTGCTTTCTTGAAGCTAAAAACTTACCAACAAGATTGTCTTCTGAGAATTGCCTTTTCTCTTCTGGGGTTCTGTCATCCTGCTCACTTCCCTCTTGTTTCATGTCCTCTTTAGCAGTTTCAGAGTTTGCACTTTGTTCATGCGAAGACTCAACACCCCTTGCAGCTTTACTAACAGAATTAGTTATAACAGGCTGTGGATTGCCTTCCTTGGTTCTCCCACTGGTGTTAACCACATCTTCTTGAACCCCATGGCACCTGTTTCCAGGTTCCAAGATCCTGGAGCGGGTCTTAGGGTCCACGGTCTTATCATGAGAACCCATGGTTGAGAATGACGATTGAAGAAATGGGGCAGCAGGTTCTTTTCGAACTGATGTGTTACTTCTTTCAGGAAGTTTTGATGAGGTATTATGGTTATTTGGAGGTCCTACTCCCAAAGGAAGAGCAGGCAGCTGCTCGTTACCTTGCTTCCTGCTCTCCACAACATCCTGCATGCCAACCTCAATTATTTAAGGAACTGGCAATAGTGCAACAGCTTAAGTTTGATAAATAAATCAAGCATATACAGCAGGAATTAGCAACACAATGGAGGCAGAAATCTATTTCACCTGCGTACCTTATTATTTTTATATGATGAATTTGTATAATCATCTTCATCATCTGTGAAAGAAGCTATCTCAAGTTCACCATCATTCTCTTCGTTTGTTACTTCTGAAGCAGATTCTTGCCCGTTCTTCTCCAATGACGATTGCTTTGATAAGCTACTCCTAGATGATGAATTAGTCTCGTCTTTATCATTTGACTGTATATTAAGAAATAAAACTGGTTGTGCTACAGATTTAGAACTCTTCTTACTGGTGATTGGGACGCTAACACTCAACACATTGTCAATGATCCCAAAATCGCCAAGATTAACTATTGCTGACCCTAACAGTTGATCTTTATTTGGCTTATCCTTCCGAGGCTCATACAAGTGGAACTCCAAATTGTACTTTTGAAACTTATCACGATCCCTTTTTTCTCTACGTAAGGTCAATGGAAGTACGAAAGATTTGTTGAATTCAATTTTAGAATCTACAACAATGGGGGAAAGATAACCCGACAACTGATCACCAGTTTCCCATTGGAGTGACATAGATAGACTTGATTCAGGAGATTGTGAGGGTGACCAAGGCTTGATCTCTTGTACATGAACAAGATAATTTACTTGAACAGAACCATCTTTCCGGTGCTTAGACCTCAAACCGAGAACCATGGTTTCAAGATGTCCTTCAAATGCTCTTCGTGGGTTGTTGTTGCAAATCACAATGCATCTACAAAAACAAAATTCTAATCACCACCACAAGTTTGAAGATCATCGGACATTAGGTACACATTTCTTTTAAGCAAATTTGCAAACACTTAATATGCATCTAGCAAACATGACTTTTGTTGGTCAATTGAGCATATGGATCTTTATATAACACTCACTAATTCAGAAAACCATAAGAACTTAAATCCCAAATAACGAAAATATGGTGGAAAAGGGGAGAAAAGTTGGTTACAAACTTGCAGTAAGTAGATTTAACTTCTGGGCACTGATCTCCGTAATTACCAAATTTTTGCAAACCCCATATGAAATCTGAATATACATCTGGTATAGGAAGCTTAAATCGGAGTAGAAATAAAAACCAGGGAGCAAAACGGATAAACACCATCATTTGTGCTCAAAGGAATTGATCTACACATGCAATATAATAATAGCAAAGCACAGACATCAAATCAACACCCATATGACCACTTAATAATGGTCGATCCACCTTAATCACTCAACGAAAACACGCAGAGAAACTGATGACATATGTGGGGTAAATAGCTAATGGGTTAACAGAAGGAAACATCATAAATAAGGCACCAGCAAAATAGAATGATGACTGAAAACGTACCAAATGTGATTCTGGGTGTTGTTGCTTCAAAATTCTCTTGTGTAATCTTGTTTGAACTTGTAGTTTTGAATTCTCAATCTGATTTATGCTTTTCTTTAGCTTGATGTTTGGTTCAAATAGATGGAGATGCGGAGGAGAAACAGAAAGAGAAAGAGAGAGAAGAAAGTCTCCAACTTTCAAAACTCCTTTCTCCGCACGACGTTAAGCTCGTAAATCCCATCAACGGTAATAGTAAAAAATGAGAGATTCTTCCTACCGGTAATTTCGTAATTTATTATATAAATTTCGGCGTATTCTTTAAAATAAATAATTTAAAATTAGTAAAATCTTTATTTTAAGGGTGCGTTTGGTGCGCGGACAGGACAGGACAGGACAGGACAGAACAGGACAGGACAGGACAGGACAGGACAGCTGTTCAGCGTTTGGTAAGACATAACAGGACAGGACAAGACAGGTTAAAATGACCAATTTACCCCCAGTAAACCACCATATGCCATTGCCATCAAAGATAATTGAAAATCAAAATTCTGACTATGAGAGCTTGAGATTAAAACAAGATATTT